AACCCACATGGTTATCTCATTAGATGATGAAAAAGCCGTTGACAAAATCCAACAACCCTTCATGATAAAAGTTTTGGGGAGATCAGGGATGCAAGGCACATGCCGTAACATAATAAAAGAAATTTACCACAATCCTATAGCCAACATCAAATTAAATGTAGAGAAACTCAAAGCAATTCCACTAAAATCAGGAACAAGACAAGGCTGTATACTCTATCCATATCTATTCAATATAGCACTTGAAGTTTTTATCTAGGGCAATAAGACAAGTAAAGGAAATAAAGGTGTATGTAGGTGGAGTTTTCTTGTCCCACAGCCACTCTCAAATAATCACTCAGAGGCTTAATATAAATTACAAATGCTTGATCAATAGCTCAGGCTTATCAATAGATAATTCGTTCATTTAAATTAGCCCATAATTCTTATCTATGCTTTGCCATGTGACCTGGCACCTTTTCTCAGCAAGTCATGCCCATGGTCTGCTTGCTACTCCTGCCTCTGCCCATCTTCCTCCCAGCATTCTTAATTTGACTCTCCTGCCTAACTTTATCCTGTTCAGCTATTGACCAGTCAGCTTCTTTATTAAACCAATTACAGAGGCATATATTCACACAGTGTAAAGGAATATTCCACATAGAGTGGGTACAAATTGGAAAGGAAGAAGTCAAAGTATCACTATTTGCAGATGATATGATTGTATACACAAGCGACCCTAAAAATTCTACCAGGGAACTCTTACAACTGATCAACACCTTCATCAAAATGGCTGGATACAAGAGTAACTAAAAAAATAAAAAAGCAATCAGCAGCCTTTCTATATACAAATGACAAACAGACTGAGAAAGAAATCAGGAGAAAAGACAACACCCTTCACAATAACCACAAATATAAAATATCATGGGGGGGGGGGAAACTCTAACCAAACAAGTGAAAGACCTGTATGATAAAAACTTCAAGTCTTTGAAGAAGGAAATTGAAAAAGATATTAGAAGATGGAAAGACCTCCCATGTTCATGAATTGATAGGATTAACATAGTAAAAATGGCCATTCTACCAAAAGTAATCTACAGATTCAACACAATTTCCATCAAAATTCCAGCACAATTTTTTATAGGCCTTGAAAGAGCAACACTCAACTTCATATGAAAAAACCAAAAACTCAGGATAGCTAAAATAATCCTGTATAATAAAAGAACTTCCAGAGGTTTCTAGCTGTACTACAGAGCTGTAGTAATAAGAACTACATAGTATTTGATGGGAGATGTCATTCTGTATATGTTTCTCATACTGGTTAATGAATAAAGCACTGTTGGCCAATAGGAAAGGAAGATAGGAGGGACTAGGAGACAAGGAGGAAATAGGAAGTAGGAAGGAGGAGCCAAGATGGAGAGTCCGGAGAAAGCAGAATGCCGGCTGGCTCCCCGGTAAGAGAAATACATAGATAAGCAGAAATGGGTTAATACTTAAGACAGATCTAGCCGACAAGAAACTAGTACCTGGCCAACAGAATTATTTCTAATACAGAGTCTCTGTGTTAACTGGGGCTGGCGGGACCAGACCACACGGCGGGAGGAAAAACCGTACTCCTTACAAGTATTGGCATAAAATATACAATAGATCAATAGAATTGAATCAAAGATCCAGTAAAAAAAAAAATCCACACATCTATGGACACCTGATTTTCAATAAAGAAGCCAGAAATATACAAAGGAAAAAGGAAAGCATCTTCAACAAATAGTACTGTTCTAGCTGGATTCCAGCACATAGAAGAATGCAAATAGATCCATATCTATCACACTGCACAAAACTCAAGTCCAGGTGGACCAATGCCCTGAACATAAAACCAGAGATGCTGAATGTGATAGAAGAGAAAGTGGGGAATAGCCTTGAATGCATTGGTACAGGAGACAACTTCCTGAACAGAAACACATAGCACGACACTAAGATCAACAATTAATAGACAGGGCCTCATGAAACTGAAAAGCTCTGTAAGGCAAAGGACACCATCAATAGGACAAATGGCAGCCTACAGAATGGGAAAAGGTTTTCACAAATTACACATCTGAAAGAGGTCTGATATCCAAAATACATAAAGAACTCAAGAAACAAGACACCAACAAACTAAGTAATCTCCCTGGGAATGTGAAATAGAGTAGATTTCAAGAGTGGACTGGGAGCAGGTGGAGTTGGGAACAGGAGGGGATCAAGTGGTGGTGGAGGAGAAAAACTGGGAGAAACTGGAATTAAGGAATATTTGAGGGACAAGGTAGAATTGTAGTCCAATGGGAATCCCATGGAATCTAGCAAAAATCTAGGGTGGGGGTAACCCCAGCAAAGACTCCCAGTAATGGGAGACACAGAGCCTGAATCGGCCATCTTCTCTAACCAGGCAAGACCTCTACTGGAAGGATTGGGACACCAACCCAGTCACAAAACCTCCGACTTACAGTTAGTCTTACCTGCAGAGTGTCCTGGGATTGGAGCTTAGCAGGATCGTCATCAAACAGACCAGAGGGGTTTCATCTAGCAATTGACAGAAGATGCTGGAGTCCCACAGCCAAACATTATGGGGAGCTTTTGGAGTCTTGCAGAGGAGGATGGGGAAGGATCAGAGGAACCAGAGGGATCAGGGACACCACAAGAACACTGTCTATAGCATCAGCTGATGGGGGCTTGCTGAAATCAGGGAGCCTGTGGGGTCTGACCTAGATCTTCTACATATATGTTATGGTGTTATGACTGAGGAGATTAGTGTTTTCTTTGTTTTTTTTGGGGGGGTGGTGGGACTTCTAACAGTAGAAATGGGCATTGTCTCTGACTCTTTTGCCTGCTTGTGGGACCCTTTTCCTCCAGCCATGATATGATAGCATATGCCTGGTCTTTATTGTAGCATATTATGCCATGTTTGGTTGATGTCCCTGGGAGGCCTGCTCTTTTCTAAGAGGAGATGGGAGCAGGGATAGGAGGGTGGATCTGGGGGAGAAGGGTGGGAGACACTGGGGGAGGGGAGGAGAAACTGTAGTCAGGATGCAATATATGTGAGAAGAATAAAAGCAAAAATGAAAAACCACCACCAAAAAACAAACAAAAAGAATGAGTATTCATGGGGAAAGCAGTCTAGAGGTCCTCCCTCCAGTTAAAGCACCATTGGCTCAGCAATTACACTTCTGGGTTTGTAGCCACAGGACACATACACTGTGAAGCTATCTGCATTGCTACAGTTAGCACTGTACTCAACAGCCAAGGCCTGGGATGTAGAAAGCATGTTATATACACAGTGGAATAGTACTTAGCCCCAAACAGAAGGGAATCCTGTCACCTGCGATGAAGATGACATAGAGCATGTTTTACTGAAGAAATAAGCCAGGGACAGAAAGACAAATTCTGCACAGTTTTAGAACAGGAATCTAAAAAAGACTCAACTTATTCCTGCAGACAAAAGAGTGGCTGCCAGGGACTGGGGACGAGGGAGATGGGGGAGGAAGAGAGGAACGAGGAGCGGGAAGGGATGGAGGAGAGATAGTAGCATGAATGTGTGGGAGTAACTAACCACTTCCTGAAGGAGAAAGATGAAAACACAGGGTACTGTACTGTGTGTGTGTGTGTGTGTGTGTGTGTGTGTGTGTGTGTGTGTGTGCAGCAGTGCAGGTGATTCTCCAGTGGCAGCTCCCTAGTTCCCTGGATATTTCCCCTGAGTGCGTGTGGACACGGCCCCTGAAAAGGGCAAATGGCAAGTGTCTACAGATGCATTTGGACTCCTTAGATTTGAGACGTGGCATGGTGGCACACAGCAGGGAAGGGGCACTGTCAGAGTAGGGCTATACTGGTCCACAGGCAGAAACCTGAGGCACAGGCCAGGGAGTGAGGAGGAGGAGCAGAATGGGACTGTAGGGCCGGGAGGCTGTCTGTGGACTCAGCTGGCCTTCGCACCAGCTTTCCTCCCTCCCAGATGCTCAGGACAAAGGTCAAGTAGCAAGCATGCCCTGTGGGAATCCTCGCTCCTGGGAATCGCTGGCACTTTACCTGACTGGAGTGAAGGCCTCGGCTCCCTGAGTCCCAGCTTCTTACCCTCCAACATTGCTCAGGCCACCACAGATCAGTATTCACAGCCTGTATTCCATAGGTACTCTGCCAGGAGAGGAGACACCATTTGGGTGTATTCCGTACATGGGACTGTGTTCCCACCACTCAGAATTTGTATGATGGTGTCACGGGGCCTTGCCTTTGACATCATCATCCACAGCCAAAGGATGTAAAAGACAGCCACAGGATGACCAGAGCATGGATTGCAGCATCCTGGGAAGAAGTTGCCTTCCCATTCTGCCCAGTCTGTGACCCTGTAGGGATTTTCTTTTTGAATAAAGGAGCTGGCCATGGCAGTGTTACTTACTTCTTCAGACTGATGAAGACTCGCTGAGTTATCTCTGCCACATGTTTAGAAAGGTGTGTGGGCCGGGCGGTGGTGGCACACACACTTAATCCCAGCACTCAGGAGGCAGAGGCAGGCAGAGCTCTGTGAATTCAAGACCAGCCTGATCTACCCAGTGAGTTCCTGAACAACCAGGGCTACAATGAGAAACCCTGTCTCAGAAAAAACAAAACAACAACAAAAAAGAAAGGTGCATAGATCTAGGGGTCTAGAATGCACCGGATAAGTGTAGAGTTCCTGCAGGCTGTGGAGAACAAAGTCTCCTGATTTGGGGAGGGCACCAGTTGGCGACACCCCATCCCAAACATACCCTTGCCTATGCCCAACTCCTCTCTGTCATGAGCTCTGGCCCTGGAGTTGGAAAGCCCTGAATTAGTCCAGGGGAGAAGGTCCCGTGAGTCTGAGCTACTCTGGACTACCTCACCTGGGAAGTGGGTACCATGAGTCAGTTCCCTGAACTTGGGAATGTTTGGTGGAGAATTCCTATCTTCAGTTTTGCCTGTTTTTTCTTCCCATCCAGCTTCTCAATATGACCCCCACACAGTCCAGAAATGAAGAGAGGGACACGTGATTTTGTGGGTAGCATCTTTATTCGGGTGCAGCTGCCTGGAGGCCAAATGTGCCAGCGCTGTGTCCCATTGCCTCGTCATAGATCCAGCTATGCTGGGAGGGGGTTATTATTCCAATGATGCCTGAGTACGACAGATAGGGTGGACTGGGGGGGGGTAGGTGTCTGGAGTGGGCTTAAGACACTCAGGGCCATTTCAGCCACAGCCTGTACAGGCAACATTCATACACAGCTCACATTCGTCAGTGGCGATGGTCCCTGTGGAGGAAGAAGAAAGGTTAGTTGAAATTGGGCCTTGGGGACCAGTGGTTACAGATGCTGTTGGCCAGGAGCTGCTGGGAAAAGGGTCTGATGTCTTCCTTAAGCTCTGAATTCAGGGTGAGGGGGACAGGGCCTAGATGCCTCTCTCATGTGCTGTCCTTCCTAGCAGGGGCTCACAAGGTACTTCCTCTCCTGGTCAGAGCTTTCTTATCTACCAAATGGGCTGAGCCACCTGACCTGAGTGCTACAGAAAGGGTCCAGGCAGAAGGATCAGGGCCCGCACAAAGCAGAGACACAGAATGCCTTCTGATTGCAACGGCATGTGCCCAGTTCTTCTGCTCCCTTCTGACACCCACCAGATGGATCAGATGGATGCATCCCATGGAATCATGTCTGTGGCATCTGAGACTCCTTCCCCACATTTGTGAGGTCTTCGAAGGCCTTCTTAGGGCTGTGTGATTACTTTCCACTTGACTCAATATGCCCGAACTGGGACAGTTCTGGGGACAGTGAGGCCGTGCCCTCCAAACTCCCTGTTCATAGCCTCTGGGTTGCCTAACAAAAATAACCGACAGTGGAGAGGTGGGGTAGGACACACATAGAAGGGCAGGAAGATCTGAGGGACTGTGCTTACTCAAGGCCTTGAAGATGCTGACAGCCTCCTGGGAGGCACAAACAGGCTGGAGGTCCAGGGGCAGGGCGGGGTCATGGCACACAGCGGGTTGGAGGCTACTGGTCTTCAGCTGAGGGTTGGACATCTGCTGCTTCTCCAACTCACTCAGCTTCTTCACTGATTCCAGATGCACTTGGAAGCCACCATACTGCCAAGAAGGGAGGGGTGAGAGGTCATTAGGCACTGGCTAGGAGCAGGCAATGCCACGAGACTGGGGCCATCAAAATCCCATGGGTCCTCCAGAATATTCTCTGTGCGTCACTGGGGACGCATCTCACGAGGAGGAAAGCTTGTGATCTGCCACCAACAGCTTTAGACGCCTTCTGTCACAGGCTGTGGGCTGCGGCAAGGGAAGACCCTTGCATATCTATTTTTGACTGCATCTATCTGTTTCTTCCCCACGTGACCTGACCTTCCCTTGTGGGAACCTGGCACCAGACAGACCAGCTAACAGGTCCTTTCTCGGCACTGGCCTGGCGACTCTCTGGTGACACTGATCCTCTCAACCCCTCCTAGACCCTTTTATCCTCCTAGGAACCTTGCCAGATACAGATACCTAATTACAGTCACACAAGTTTAGCAAGACCAGCAGCACCCTGCCACACTGTGGCCAGGCCCAATTCCATGCCCCACCCAGCTTATAGTCCCTGGAAGACACTGAAGTCCATGTTCCCCTTTTCTGGCCTTTGCTCTGCCTGGAACGTGTTCGCCTGGGCCTTGCACTATGCATCCTTTAGTGAGCACAAAGGTCCCTGCACAGGGAAACCCTTCTGTGACTTACCCCTGTGGGTAAGCACAAGGGAGAGAGCCCGAGAGGGGTCTCCTTCCCTCTATGCCCCTCTAAGGCTGACCCTCATCTCCTTCTTATACTGTGGCTGTGCTGACTTCAAGGGAGAGCAGAGCTGAAAAGCCAGGTTTCTCTCATCATCATCTCTATCACTGTTGCTGTGGACACTCCTGCAGCCTCCACCCAGCAGGTGTCTTGGTCTAGACTGGATGCTGAGCTGAGAGCTCCGGTCCTTCAGGCAAAAGGTAGGCTGGCTGGGGGTCTCACCTTGATGTAGACAGACTGCACACCCTGCAGCAGCAGCAGCAGCAGGACCGTGACAGCCCACAGTCGGCTTCCCGACATGGCCCTGCCTCTCATCTCAGGTCTCTGGGTCCTGCTTCCTCCACTGGCCACCTGGCTGCCTCCTGCCTCCTGGCCAGCAGCCCCTTATAGGCCAGGGTCCAGCACTCTGGTCATTTATTAACTGTATCACTGGGGTGGGGTTGACAGAAGCCTGGCTCTTTGACAAATTCAGAGTTGGTTCCCAGGAAGGGGGTGGGGGTGATGATGATGATGGGGAATCCAGATGTGTGGGAACATGGTCTGCCAAGGACTTCTCATGAATAAGGTTCTGTGGGAATATCTCGAACTACTTTGCTCTCCGTTCTCTCCTCCACACCTGGGAGGAGGGGGAAGGTGGAGACTCAGGAAAGCACGACCAGTGCTTTGCCCCAGGTCAAAGTGACTCGAGCCACGTCTTTAGCCCAGGTCAGCCCCTATCTTTGAGTGAACGGTGCAGGCAGATGGCTCAGAGCAAGGTGGACACACAAGGATGACATCAGGGCTCTCCAGTGCTAACTTCACCCAAGTCCAACATTCTGCTCCAAACCCTGAAGTGGGTTTGGAAAGACCAGCCTCTAACCAGTCCTTGCCCAGCCCTCTGCCTGCCATTTCCCATTTGTACCCAAGGACCCTGGCTTGTATGTGACCCATATCTGTAGCCAGCAGACCAATATGGTGTGAAAGAAAGGGCCCAGGTGTCATAGAAAGTGACAGGGGCTCAGGGCCAGCCTTGGAGCAGCCGCTGCATGCCCCTGGGGACTCACATCATGTCTCACTGAAGTTTTCTTTACTTTCCCATCACGCAGGCCTATGAGAAGCCACAAAGGTGACTGTAGGCATGATGGGCTCCAGCCCCTTGAGTTATCTTCATTCCCTGGCTGAGTCATCTGTAACAGGTCCTTTAACCTCACAGCCCACCTCCCCTATGGGCGAAGGTCAGGTCAGAGGGGAAAGGGTGAAGGCTTTGAGGGTGCTATCACAGTTGCCAAGCCCAGCAACTCTAAACAGTGGACCTGCAGGGGCAGCGCTGGGCCAGGAACAGATTGACATGTGGCAGGTACCCCAGCATGAGCCTGAGCTGAATCCATCATAGCCTACCTGGGCACCTACAGTCCCTCAGATTTGGTAGCTAAATGAACAAATTATCATGTGCTCCTACAGACCAGTCCTGCTTATGCATTTGTGATACACCTCAACTCCCAGAACACCTAGCCTTCCCTCTTATCTTGCACTGAAATAGATAAAATGCCCAAGTGAACTTTGGAGTCTCTTATGTTTCGCTTTGAATCTAGACTTCGTCCTTTATTCTGCAGCCTTTGGAGTCTCCCATTCTCTTCTCCACAAGATGCTAACTGTCAGATAACAGTAGCTCAAATGCTTGATTATGAGTAATGCAAGGCATGACGAGGTACTCTGCCATGCTCCCCCCGGGGAGCAGGAGGAACCCGCCGGTATTCTGTTCAGAACCCCTACCTGTGCTCAGCCTGCGTGGCTATAGAAAAAGAAGCACGGGCCTTGGAGGTATGGAGACCTGAGTTTGGACCCAGGCTCCTGCAGTTCCCCACCATGTGACCCTGCTTACCCTCCACGAGTCTCCGCTTTCTCACCACTGAAGTCAAGAACACAGTGAGGAACTTAACCGGTGTCGTGAAAACTAACAGCCCTTGTCCTGGGGAGCCAGTGACTCCCCTGTCCCCAGACAGATAATTTCAGCACGTGCCAGGGACACCTGCAACAGAAGATGGCCTCCCCACATGTTCTTTTCCATGGAATCCTCCCAGACAAGCCCTGTTTCTAAACCCAAGGAGATGACAGGTGTGACCCCCAGCCTTGACAGGCTGGACTCAGTGCCACCCTATCCAAAGCACTGGGTTTGCTTAGCCATGTCACCTCATATAAGTGATACAACCTGAGGTTTTAGCTTCCAATTTGTAGAAAAATGACTGGTTCCCAGTGTTGGAAACTGTCATGAGCCTGCTTGATTGCCATTCTTTCAATGGGATAAGCTCAGCCCGCTGGCCCCTGTATCAAGAGGCAGGAGTCAGTCTTCAGAGTCTGAAGGCCCTGTGGCAGAGCTCGACTTCCTTTCTCCAGCTGCTGGCTCTTCCAGCTAGGGCTCAGCACATGGCCATCATTCCCTGGGAATGAATCATGACTTCCTCTTCTGCCTGACAACACTCAAAATTTCCAACCCCACCTCCTCCTAATCTCTTCATGAATGACCCACCATCCATCAAAGCCAACTTGGCCACAGATGCAAATCCTCTTGCCACTCTGACCAGCTCATTTATGTTACCTGGTGTCATTGGGGCACTTCTGTCTTTATGGACCTGGGAAGCCACTGCCAGAGCAGCCCGTGGAAACTCACACAGATGAGGATGGGGGACAGCTCACCTCTGTAGGCTTAGCTGCTATTCTCTCCATATTGAGTCCCTGCTTGGTATCCACTTTTGTGGCACCCCAGTTTCCCCAAGGAGCATTTCTCAGAGTTTGTTGTTCACTTGGCTGTGGGTATATGGGCTTTCCAGGTTTCTGACATCCTTGACCATTTCTTTTCGGTTTCCTTGGCCCTCAAAGTTAGAACTCACAGGGCACCAGGACTCGTCCTTGGGTCTCTGTCCTCTTCCTACAGTTACCTACTTTGGTAGTGTCATCCAGCTGCAAGGAATTCCAAGCCTCTAGTCTCTGGGAGTGCCTAGCCTAACCCGCCCCTCCCCCCCAATCAATCTATCTACCTCCTCAGCCTTTCTTGTCATCGCTGATTATATTACCAGGTGCCCAAGCTGTCAGGTCAAAACTTACGGAGTCATTCTTGACACCTCTTGCTCATTTGCCAAGTTCAATGCTTTCAGGTTCAGCTGTATTGACTTTCAGAATATTCTTAGCTTCCAACCAATCAGGCCTCACCTCACCACTAAGAATGAAGGATCCAAGCTATCATCCTTGGTTTCATGAATTGTTGTAACAGCAGTGTTAGGCAGAGGTCCCCAGAGAAACAGTATCTGTTCTGTATTTCTCCAGAGAAATAGGATCTGTTCACCTATCTGTCAATCAACTACCAATCTGTTTATCTGTTTTCTATCTAGATTTACTTTGAGGAACTGGGTCATGTGACTATCAAGACTGACAGGTCTTGGGTAGGGCAGGTTGACAGGCTGATAATTTAGCTAAGAGTCGAGGCAGGCTGTTGTGAGTTCTTATCATTTTAAGTTGCCTTGTGTCTATTTTAAATATAGGCTGGATGTTTTCACACTGGGGTGTGACAGTTGCTAATTTTACCCACTTTTGCCCAGTTCCTCAATGAGATTGATCCACATGTTTACCTTAGATAACTATTCCCAGTGACCCCTTCCCTATGGAGTTGTTAAATGTTGACCTTCACACCCTGTGTGGAGAAAATAGATACCACTGTAACCACATCTTAGTGCCACCTTCTGGAACTGGAGCCTATGCCTCCTTTTGTGTTTTATGGTTTTTGTTTTATTTCGGACTGAGTTTCACTATGTAGACCAGGCTGGCCCAGAACTCAGAGTTCCTCATGTCTCTGTCTCCTGAGTACTGGGTAATGTGGGTGCAGCACTTGCCTGAAACACACCACTTAGAGATTCTGTCTCATGTCTGTCTGTCTGTCTCTCTCTCTCTCTCTCCTAGCCTCTCCCGGCCTATATGTGTGTGGCTTCTGGGAGAAGATCCTAGACCCATTCCATCTTGTGGTTGTCCCTCCTAATCATGGGCAGAACTCTGAAGCCCACACACAGGGGCAACCTGGAATCAGATCTCAGGGCAGTGCATCCTTTAGAGGTGCAGGTGGTGGGCCCGTGTTCAGTCTCCAGGCTCAACCTCTCCTCTGAGAAAGTCTTCATCTCTGCTCTTAAGATGGCCAACTGACTGAAGTCCTGCTCCCATAGCATGGAGGGCAAGCATCTGTACTCCTGGAGTATTAAGTATCAATATTAACCATATCTAAAATGATCTTTTCAGAGCAACATCTAGTTGGTGTTTAACTAAACAATGAGCTGTCACAAGCATCCGAGCTGACTCATTGAGCTCACACTGGCACCCCTTCTGGCCTTTGTCCACACATCAGTCAGCATGACCCTGGGAAGATCCGAGTTAGCGGGTAGCTATCACTGCTCCAACCGGATACAGCTTCCTACTCTCTTCCATCTATGGGTTGCCTTGGGCACACTCTCTTCTGCTTTGACTTCAGCTCCAAAATGTTGCCCTTTGCTCTTTGGGATTCATCAACCCCTTTAGCTCCCGTGCCCTTCCAACTATGTTTTTATTATATTTGAGGTTAGTACACAGAGCAACGGTTTTGCCATGGTATCTTCATACTCAAGTGTCGTTGTTCCATGTCCTCATCGCCGCTGGTTCCATTTCCTGGGTGCTGTGGACAGTGCACCTACAAAAGTGGATGTGCATAGATCTCTGTGGTGTGTTGCCACAGAGTCCGTTTAAGAATATGCTTGAGTGGTGCAGCTGGGTCACATGGTCGATCCAGTTTCTGTGTTGAAGAACCTGCATTCTGGTTTCCATAGCTGGTGCACCAGTTCCCACTCCCATGGGCAGTGGATGAGATTTCCTCTTTCCCTACAGCCTTGCCAGCATTTGCTGTCATTTCTTTTCTTGATCATAGTCATTCTGACTAAGGTGAGAGAGGCTCTCCAAACAGTTAAGCTTTGTGTTTCTTTGAGGCTAATGATGTTGAACGCATCTTCAAATATTTATTGGCCATTTGTTCATTTGTTTTTCTTTTTGAGAAATGTCTGTTCAGCTTGTGTGCGTGTGTGTGTGTGCGTGCGTGTGTCTATATGCGTGTGTGTGTGTGTGTGTGTGTGTGTGCGTGTGTGTGTGTGTGTTTTGAGACAGGGTCTCATTATGCAGTCCTAGCTAGCTTGGAACCCCTGTAGACCCACCTCCCACTCCTCCGTGTGCCACCACACCTGATAGTGTTTAAGTTTTACAGTTATGTGTTCTCCCTGGATGTTAATGCCTGTGTGATGAGCAGATAGCTTCTCTACCATCTGTAGCCTGTCTCTCCACTCTGGCT